AGGAAAGTACGAAACCTTTAAAGTTTCACATCTAGTATAATAGTTTTATAGGAAACCCAGTACGAAACCTCGAGGTTCAATACGAAACCCTAAAGGTTCCGTCCTTTCCTACAAAACCTTTTTTTTGGTGTACGGAACTTAAAAAGGTTTCGAAGAAAAAAGGATCTTCACTTGGGTACACGGTAAGATGCTTTAAAGGTTCCGAGTTTTTTTATTCGTTTTTTCAAACTTTCAACACATTTGCAAACTTTTTGTCATCTACCGAACCTTTTTTTGAGGTTCCAGAAAGTACCGTTTTTTTTTACAGTGCATCGCTTATAGTCGAAGACGATGAGACCCATAGTTTAAGACAAATTCAAAAATCCTGATCCTGGACCGATTTTATCTGATTCATTCTGAAAAACCCAAATTAATTTGGATTTTATTCGATTCCTTCTACTCGGACCCTAGCAAGGAGAATATTAATGAATTTAAAAATCATCTAGGAATCTAGTTGATAAGGCATGTATTTTTTGAAAGTATATCACAGATATAATGTAAGAAAGCTTTTTAGAGAACTCTTGCTTCAGTGCTAGCTTAAAAAGTGGTTCAAAGTTCCTTTCCAATCAACTCTCTGAGAGAAAGAAAGATGTACTTCCTCTTCTTCTTCGTCTTAGGGCTTTGCCAGTAGAAAACGAGTGTCGACATAGCTTAAAGCTAACAATACGACCGATTCTTCAAAAACAGCGATAGTTTTAACTGATCACGAAAGAGGCATAAAAAAGGATAATTATAAGATACAACGCGAATATTATCATTCTTTTTATATAAACAGAGATTTATTGGCTTTTCTAATATAGATATGGATAACATAATGTCCAAAACTATCCGAAAGAGTCATAATAACGCTAAAATCAAATCCTTATAGCGATAGTTGAGTAAAAATTAGAACATTATCAGGGTTTTCGGTCAAAATCAGGAAACTCAGGACAGTTTTAAAAAAATCAGGAACAAATTAGGAAAGTAAACGCTCTGTGAGATCTAAAAATTCGTTTTAAACTCTGCATATCGATGGTTTCAGTCTCCAATCTCCGCAAGAGCTGACCGTTCACAATGACTTTCCTACATGTTTCTTGCAGGATTCGCTGAATTTTTTGCAGGAACTCGCCGAAAAAACATAGAAACACGGAAGTAGTATTGCGGACCAAACAACATCTTACCAGAAACTGTGACTGTTCCATCATATCTCGCAAAGGGAAATAGATAGAAAATTCATCAGATTTCATCGAAAAAGCAAGGAAAATCGCAGAAATAACAATGGTGACGACAAAAAACAGGATGCTGCTCGTTCTTAAGAGCAGTGGGTGGCGATTTTCGTCAACGCTGACAACATCGCTCATATAGGCACTAATGAGAAGCACATTGCAGCGTCAATATGAGCACCTTGCCACTGTACTCATATCAGTAGACTGACTGGAGACCTACGCAACCAAGATTTTTCAGGCATGGTCACGACCTACTCGGTCACCATTACGGTCATGCGTGACTGTAGCCGTGACTAACTTTCAGATCTCTCAAGTACACTCACACCCTTTTCATCAATGTACGAGTCTTACATTGTATGACATGAGTAGCATTTAATTGTTGAATACGCTGTTGATAATTTCTTTGAAGAAATAACCATTTATTCGATTGAAAAAATAAATTCAATTGGCTTACTTTCGAGCAAGAACACCCCGACATAATGCTTGAAGTTGTGTAATAATATCAGTTAATTTTAAATCACGTTCTTCTTCTAAATGACCAAGTACACCTGAACGAAAGAAAATTTTTGTAAGACCAATTCGATAAAGATTATCATCTAGTTCAAATATTTTAATCTAAAAAAAAGAAGATAATTTTGATTTTTATAATTTTCTATATAAGATTTTACCATTTTTTGTGATGCAGCTTTACCATTCATAAAACCTTTTGGAATAACATTTGGACAAAGAAGTTCATAACTAAAAGTAAAAATGATGAAAATTTCTATCATACACTTTGTAGATATTTTTCTTTTATTCTACTAACACAAAGAAGAAGACAAACTTAATGACATTTCTTCTATTATGTAACTATTCTGTTAGGAAATATTTTTCAAAAGGAAAAAAAAATACCGTTGACGAAATTCTTGAAATAAAATTCGATTTGGAAAACCATTTCGACAGATACGAATTCCTTCAAGTACACCATTACATCTTAACTGTGCAAGTACTAATGGTGAATGAATAACACCAGCCTAAACAAGAAACAATTCTTTCTTTTTATATACTAATTTAGTTTATTCATCAAACCTTCTTTTGTTGATTTGGTAAAATACAACGGACAAAATTTGGATTTGTATTTTTTAATGTACCCATTAATTTAGTTAATTGTTCTTTATAAAGTTTACCAATAGTTCTAAACATTCCTTTTTTATTATAAGGTTTTAAATTTGATGTTGCATTATTTGGATCAGCTGCTGATAGACCAATAATTTCCGCTAAACACAAACAAGTCAATTTCAGATAAATAAACAAAATATAAAACGACACTGTACTTCAATTCTCATGCTTAAAACTCACTGTAATCAGATATTATAGTTATATTTGGTAGAATAAGACTCCGTCTCATTCCCCAAATAATTGCTGAACGTTAGAATTTATTTATTTGTTGTTAAAAAAGAATAAAATATTATACCTTACCGTCTTTCCATATTTTACATGTAAATGGATCTTTTGCTGTTTGTAAAAGTGCAACAACACTACCATTTAATGAATCCATATTTTTCATTAACCATTGATCAATTGAATATTCAACTTTACCAGCATAATGAATTATACTAAAATCAGCTGGTGCTTTGTAATTTGGTTTACCAAAATTTGGATGTTGAGCCCATGCATTTATTAATTTATCAACATATGTACGATCAGTTGCTTTTGGAAACAGACATTCTTCATCTAATAAACTTAATATACCCATTGGCTATTAAAAAAAAATATAAAAATATAATATTATAATAAAATAAAAATATTTTAAATTTACTTTTTCAATTAAATCAATTGTTGGTTGAAGATCCAAACCAAAATCTATATATTCCCAATCAATATTTTCTCGACGATATTCTTCTTGTTCAAGGACAAACATTGTATGATTAAATAATTCTTGTAATTTTTCATTTGTATAATTTATACATAATTGTTCAAATGAATTTAATTGAAAAATTTCAAAACCAGCTACATCAAGTATGCCAATAAATGATGAGCCTTGCCGTTTTGTTCGATCAAGAGATTTATTTATACGTGTTACTACCAATTTAAACATACGTTCATAAATGGCTTTTGATATTGCGTCAACAGCATAATCAACCTAATTAAATATTAAAGATTTAGTTTAAAGATAAAGGGGGCAAATATATCGATAGAAAATATTATGTCTATTTAGGTAAGAGATGGAATCGATCTATCAGTCAACGCCGCAAACTATTTTATGAGACTGGTTTCTGTCGAAAAATGGTATAATAGGAATTTCGCCATGCACTTGTTGGAAGGTTATTTGTTCACTTTAGACATAGTCCTTATTGAATATTTGGTGGATGAATTCATCATGCTAATTAATACACAAACTATGTTTAAAGTAAGCAAATGCTGACGAAATTTCTGTTTCTTGGATCAAGCTCTACAATTTATCAGAGAGACGATTCTTTTCGTTCTAACTTACTTGTGCTTGTGTTTGTGCTTTTGTAACAAAATCTCTTCCAACCTTAAGTTTTGGTTTTAAAATTGATCCTACAAAATCTTTAACTGGTATTCCCAATAGATGACAAACTTTTTGTGCAACTGTATCATCAGGTAATGTTGCTTGATCACTATTACATTCTTGTTTAAATTGCATATTACCCATTTGTAAAACTGCTGACATCGTACGAAATATTGAATTTAAATCATCATTTGACATATTCATTATTTGCATAGCTTTAACTGTATTTTGAAATTCTTCACCATCATCAACACCTGGTATTGTTACATTACCATGTGTTAAATAACGATAACGACTAAAATCTTCTAATAAATAATCTGTNTTTCGATAACCCATTATCATCACTCCTGAAAACAGGATTTTTTTTCTATTAGAAATAGTAATTAAAACTATAGGTTTTCTGAAACATGTTTTTGGAAAATCCATGAAATTCTATTACGCTTTGTGAAATGTATTTTGTGTGTAGCCTTAAATTTATGAGAGGCAATTTGCAGAGAAACTAATGACACTTCAACCTTGATTTTTACTGTTGCACAACTAAACAGATTACCCCAAGTTATGAATGTTGTACTGTTAATTGTTTTTTTTTCTCTTCCATTTAGCCATATGTTATTGAGTTTTGTGTAAGAATAGTTAGTTTTTAGTATTCTTTTAGCTAACGAAGAGCAACTTAGATTATCGTAAGTTATCCTAATTTATTGATTCATTATAAATGAGACCTAAGCTCATATTTTCAAAATTTGCTATTTTTCTTCTAGTTTTTCCTCATATTAAAACTTAAATTTTCTTTCCTTCAAAATATATCAATAAATTTAATAAAACAAATCAATTTTAATATTATCTTCATTTTCTTAGTAAATATTTTCATAAAAGAAAAATAAATTTAAATTTACCGTTGACGAAATTCTTGAAATAAAATTCTATTAGGAAAACCATTTCGACAAATACGAATTCCTTCAAGTACACCGTTACATCGTAATTGTTCAAGTACAAGTGGTGAATGAATAACACCAGCCTAAAATAATAAACCAACATATAATGTTTCTTTTTTTTCTCATATAAACCTTAAGTAAAATCCCATCGGATTGGTCTTGAATCCGATGGGCTTTAATCTTGAGAGAATATAGTACTCGATATAATCGAAATTTTGATTTTCAATTTTTTATCTTACCTTTTTATGATGATTTGGTAAAATACATCGAACAAAATTTGGATTTGTATTTTTTAATGTACCCATTAATTTTGTTAATTGTTCTTTATAAAGTTGCCCAACAGTTCTAAACATTCCTTTTTTAATATTAGCTTTTAAACTTGATGTTGCATCATTTGGATCTGCTGCTGATAAACCAACAATTTCGGCTAAAGAGAAAATAAATAATAAATTAATTTTCAATTTTCATATAAAACAAATTCAATAAAAACACTCCATTCCAAAAAAAGAAAATCTCATGCTTAAAACTCACTATAATCAGGTATGAGAGTTATATTTGGAAGAATAAGACATGGTCTCATTCCCCAAATCATTGCTGAATATTAAAATTTATTTATTCTATTAGATAATTAATAAATAGACTTACCATCTTTCCATATTTCACGTGTAAATGGATCATTTGCTGTTTGTAAAAGTGCAACAACATTATCATTTAATGGATCCATATTTTTCATTAACCATTGTTCAGCTGAATATTCAACTTTACCAGCATAATGAATTATACTAAAATCAGCTGGTGCTTTATAATTTGGTTTTCCTAAGAAAAAGAAAAAAATTTGAAAATAAAAACAAAAAAAGCTAAATTTTCTTTTTTACCAAATTTTGGATGTTGAGCATGTGCATTTATTAATTTATCAACATATGTTCGATCAGTTGCTTTTGGAAACCAACATTCTTCATCTAATAAACTTAAAATACCCATTTGCTAGAAAAATAAAAAAATTAATTTGTATTTCTTTTTTTAATTGTTTTACTTTTTCAATAAGATCAATTGTTGGTTTCCAAAAGCAACCGATCGAACATATGTTGATAAATTAATAAATGCA